ACTCTAATAAAAATCTCCCTAACGATAATATTTATCAACACAGCCTGAGCCAAAGTGGCCTTGTTCAGTCAAAGAGATACAAATCTAACATTTGGCCTCCACCAAATTTCAGGAAACAGGGAACAATTTTTACCAAAGATTCAAGGGGAAAGGTTTCATATGCGCTCTCACCCCAAGTACCCTCAGGTTCAAGGAGTTGATGCCAGTTGTCTTTCCTATATGTGGCTACAGAAATTGCTTTTAATAATATTTTTCCTGAGGGAGATCTGCAGCTTCTTTTCCCCAGACCAACAACAATGGCCCTTAATCCACTTCGAATCCTGCCCTAGTTGAAATCCAAAGGAAAGTTGTTCCCTTGATGGATTTAAGCATTTCTGGAGTTGTTTTCCCACCAGCTGTGGCTCCAGGTTACCCAATCAACCTTGATATGCTTCTGTGAACAATAAAATAAGTAGCCAGGTCACCAGGGTAGGGACTAACGACTCCCTGGCTTTCCTAAGCTCCCCAGCTCAGCTTCTGGCATTTAAATGCCACAAAAAATAAGAGATTTACCACTAATGACAGTCTCTTTGTCCCTGACTCTACCATGCCTACAGCCTCCTTGCATTCCAATTAGGGCCAATAGCACATCCCCATTCCAGGCTGAAATCCAGGGCTCCCCAGGCTTTATTCTTAGGTGGCACAGCTTAAAAGATAAATTCTTTTCCTTTTTTGCGCTTCATCTGCCTGAAAAACTGTGAACAGAGGAGGCATGGGAACTGGGGGGAGGAAGAGGAGCCCCCCAGATAAATACTGTTCCACCTGGCTACTCCTTGTGCGCGTGTGTGTGTGTGTGTGTGTGTGTGTGTGTGTGCGCACACGAGCTCGCACACACTTTCCTAACTCCCCTTTGCAAGCCGGGACGTTAAGGCACCGAACAGCTGGCTAAGCAAGGCTCTACTTTCTGCTTCCAGAAAGTCAGACCAGGAACGGCACTAATTAGTCCCATTTCTTCTCTTTTTAGTTTCTCTTCCCACCTATTTCTCTTAGGCCACGATCACAACCTTGTCATAAAAGGATATTCACAGAGAAACTGCATGGGACGGGTCCAAGACATACATTTTCCCTTTCTCCTGACACAGTGACGTCTGATCAGAAGTGCTGGGCACTTAATACAGGCAAACAGGATACAAGGAATAAAATGGAAAGAAACTGGGAAATTGCAACTATATTATCAGAAAGGGTCAGTTTGTTCTGGTGACACTTACGTGACTGGGAAAATGGCTGAAGCCAAAATCAGTTCCCAGGGAGAACTTTTTGTCTGGCTGAACTTCACTACCTGCTGTGCACAGAGGCACACCCACATACTCCACAATTCACGGCGGATTCCACAGTTTTGCATAATTAAGTACAACAGAGCAAATATGTTGCTTGCTCAATTTCATTTCATCCGTGTGTTATCCATACTAACAAAATGCTTACTTGATATACTGAATATATATATTCAATAAGAGAAGCATTTTTTTCAGAATGGATGGGAAACCACTAAACAGTTCATTTCTATATCGTCAGATTAGACTAAAAAGCACCAGAGAGTCACTCATTTTATATAAGCTGGCCACCTAATTTCCTCTAAGTGGGCACCACTATTCTAGGGCAAAACTCAGAAAGAGTTTTGGGGGAGACTTATAAGCAAATGAAGGGAGGCCTACAAAACAATGTTTTATTGCATCTAGGGCTGGGATTAGGATGAGATGTGTGTGGCAGTCATGCAAGTATTGGTGGGATCTTGTTTTTAAAATACTGATATTTTATTCAAGATTTTTTTTTGCATTATTTTCATTCTAAAAATTTAAAAATAATTTTGACTTTTTAAATTGATTTTTTTTATTAAAAAAAATTTAAATCCAATCATTTTTCTAGATAACTGTTTTTCTTCAAGACAACCATTATAGTTTGGTATGGAGCAGAAGTATTTTATGCTTATTTCCCAATCTGTCACAGAGAATATTAAAGAGATATACTGGAAAATTGAGATTTAATAAAATTCATAATTTGTACCACTTCATCAAGGATATTAAGTGAAACTGACTTTTTTTTAGCGTAAAGACACAGTGCCAGAAGTTTCACTAGCCATTACTTTTGTACCATCGATGCAAACCCCAATGCAGTAAAAAAGGCAAATGACATCTTAGAGTCACTATAAAAATCATTCTGACCTCACAGACCCCTTGAAAGGGCCTTGGGAAACCCCATGGACCTATAGGACACTTTGAGAACTGCTGCCTTAAAAGATGTTTTCTTTTTAATCTTCACCTAAGGATATGTTTATTAATTTTAAAGAGAGAGGAAGAGAGAGAGAAAGAAACATTGATGTGAGGGGATAACATGGATTGGCTGCCTCGTGCATACCCCCTACTGGGGACTGAGCCCTCAACCAGGGGATCAGGCCCGCAACCCGGGCATGTGCCCTCACCGGGAATCGAACCTGGGGAGCTTTCAGGGCACAGGTCGATGCCCAACCAACTGAGCCACACTGGCCATGCCAGGGGCAATAAACTTTTAACACTGGGTCAAAACCATTATCCACAACAAGCTAGGATCCTCAGTCAATGGGAGCAACATAGTGATGGCTATCACCAGTTAGTCTGGCAAAAATAAGTGCTGAAGAGTCGAAGCGAACTGACTCAGCTGTCATATAAATAGTTCTGAGCAATCCCTGAGGCCAAACGTAAGGTATGAGCATGATGTGAAAGAGTCTGAATGCCATGAGTAGAATCGGTGACCATTTTAGGGCAAATGAGTGGAGAAATACCACCCCACCCCTCCCTCACCTCCTGCCTCCCAGGAATGAGGGAGCAGAGGGAACTACAGCCGGGCAGAAGCATCCACGGAACATGTCCAGGCTGTTCCGAGATCCTGGGGCCGGCCTGCCTGGGGTCTCAGCTTTCCCCTGACACTTCCTGGCACAGCCTTAGGCAAACTCCCAAACCACTGCCTTATCAGTGTCCTCAGGGGTAACATGACTATAACATCCATACCTTAGTCATATGATTGCGGTAAGGGGAACCTGAGGTGATGTACAAAGCGCTGAGCAGGGTGCCCGAGAGGGTAAGCGTTCGGTAAACGTTACCTTACAAAAGAAGAAACATACTTGTGCAATGATTCACTGCCCAGCGTCCAGCGACTTTGGCCGCTCGTATAAACGCTCCTCAGCGCCCTGTCTTCCAGTGTCAGGCGTTCAGTAAAGGTTACTTCCTCCCTCCAGCTAGTCTGGGAGCCTGTCTGGACCTGTCACTGCATCCAGGCTGCTTTGAGTGCAGACACTTTCTCACCAACAAGAGAAATCTGATGCTTAAATATGAAAAAGCATACATCTGTGGGCAAATTAGCACGTAAACGTGGAAGCGTTTATTACAGGGGAGAATTATGCTTCATATCTTCCTAAAATTGTTTTTACTGACGTGAAAAACATGTTTGAAGAACAAAGGAATTGTTTTTGAAAAATTGAAACTAGCAAAATGTTTAACTCACCAACAGAAACACTTATCAACTTTGTTTTTTTTTGCTATTCTCTGTGGCAGATAAAATAATATCGCCCCCCCCCCCC